CAAACCGATGAAGAAATCGATGTGATTCCCGTGCAGAGCCGAGATCGAACGACCGTGAGGAAGGTGAAACTCTGCATCGATGGACATGGCTCCTCGTCGGTGGCCATAAAGTGTTCTGTTGCGCCGAAGCTGTTGCTCCTGGCGAAGATGGCAAAGAGGCTATCGTTGAGGAAGGAGGGAGCACAACACTCGTGGAAGCCATAGAGGATGGATCGATTAGAAAGGGAAAGAGTTTGCGGTCTTGCTTTGTGATGAGAGAGTCAGAAACCGTGATTTGCTTGTGAGGGAAGGCGTGATCCATCCGATCGTGGATCTCTCTCAGAGTGGTTGGGTCAGTGTTAGAGGTAAGCGCAAGGTAAGAAGAACTTTGCTATTCTTACTGATCTTGATAAATTGGTTGGCTTAGCTACAAAAACACTTGGAGTCTTCTGCTACGGATAAGAGACTATGTTTTGCTGATTACTCTTGAGATCTCTATTCGATTGTACATACTTAGTGTATTGCAAAGTGTAACGCTCGTGAACCAAAATGTGTATTTTTGGTTGGTGCGTCGATCGACACACGTGGTTGGACTCGCAAAGAGTCGGGTTCTAGGTGTTGCGTCGATCGACGCAAGTTGAAATCGAACCGACAAGTTCGGTTCTTGATCACTTAGTTTGGCGTCCGGTTTAGGGAATCCTAGGGCATGATATAAAAACGCATAGAGACGTTTTTGCAGCCGATTTTGGGTCTGCGAGAGTTATCGTCGTTTTACTAAGAGATGTTTCTGCAGTTTTGGGTTTGCGATCAGTCCATTTCGAGGGAGGATTCCCGTTGAACCAGAAGAACTTAGGAGACGATCCGCCTATCTATGGAAAACTCTCTCTGTCTAGTTTTCAGAACAGGTTTCCGATGTAATCTCCGTTCTCTGTGTTCTGAGACTAGAATTTCATGTTTCTAATCCTGAGCAACGAACTTGCGGGTTGTTTTCCCATCGTTCTATAAGGACCCAGAAGACGATCTAGGTATCATTGGAAAGCCCCGAGTCTTAGCTTTCCAGAGCCACTGAGTTCGGTTTAATCTGAAATTTGAAATGCGTGTTATAACCATT